AGGGGCATGAGACAGGAACATACCATCACCCTCAATATTCTGAGTGACATTGCATGTAACAGTGCCTTAGCTGGCCCCATGATGTGCAATTCCTCCACTGGATTTGGAAGATACAGGCATCCTGGTTCCCAAAAGAATCTGCTGGTCTCCCTTCTACTGTAGACCATCTTCTCCTTCAGGAAAGAAAGCAGAAAATTAACAATTGTGTTGTACAATGTTTAGATGATGTGCCTATGTTAGCTGAATAGCTGCAGCTTTTGGAGACTGACAGAAGTGCACACAAGGCTGGTATCATTGGAGGATGTATGATGGTGAGGTTGGAGCATCTGAATATTGGACCTAACTGAAAGCAGTATTGTGCATTGAATAACATGAGGCGCTGGTGTGTAGGAGATGTCCTTTAAATGTGTATTCACTGAGCTTGACCAACATCTTGAGGTCACTGAACTTCTTGCAGCACAGGTCTCTGGAGCCAAATTCCAGGACTGCACCTCTACCGCCACTTATTTCCATTTCCTTCAGAGGGTATGTCTCAATAGCTTTCTACTCACGTCCCTTCTCTCTTGCTGTTAATCTCCACCACAAAACCATCATGTATCACATCTGAGAACTCAGGAGCCCTCTCACTTTTGTGATGTTCCATTTGTTCTTCTACATGCAGCCAATTGCAAGCAGTCATCAACAGCTTCCGCAAAGGGTAGGTTGTTTTTTAAGAGATGCAGAACAGATGGGCACATGGTAACTATGGACATTGCTGAACCTACTGTGAAGGGTCAGTCAGCCAGAAGTGCAGGTCTCACTTGGCTGATCACTAAGGATAAAGTCGCCATAATCCCAGTGGTCCATCGGGTTGCTTTCTCATTAGAGAAAGATGACTGTGGTGAGTTTAACTTGATGGTCACAACAATTCAGGGGAGGGGCAAGGTTGAGAAGGAGGGACCTACATGGTAACCACATCTAGTGTGGGAATTGAACCATACTGTTGATGTCACCCAGCATCACAAACAAGCCATCCAGTCAACTAAGCTAACCAACCCCCGTCTGCTGAACACGACAATCGTGTTAGTGAGCAAACATCGTGAATGCAAATCACAAACTCCCTGCCCAAGAACTGGAGAAAATCAATTTTTAGCTTTTAATCTAACGATAATGATCATTTGCTAAGGTCAATGAAAATATCTTCTTTACCGTAATTACAAATTTACTATCAGCCATCATACACATGCAAGCCTAAAGGTGCACCAGCCTTCCAACCTGCCTTGATTCCCTACAATTTGCCTACCAACGTAACAGGTCCACAGCTGACGCCATATCCCTAGCCCTGCACTCATCCCTGGGACATCTGAACAACACAGACACCTACTTCAGACCCCTGCTCATTGACTATGGCTCCGCCTTCAGCACCATTATCCCTTCCATAGTGATCTCAAAACTCCAAGACCTTGGTCTTGGCTCCGCCTTCTGCAACTGGATCCTTAGCTTTCTGACTCAGAGACCGTAATCAGTGAAGATTGATAACTGCGCCTCATCCACAATAACACTCAACACTGGAGCCCCCCAAGGATCTGTCCTCAGCCCGCAACTGTACTCCCTGTCGACCCATGACCGTGTTGCCAAATTCTGAATGAACGTCACCTACAATTTTGCTGACAACACCAGTGCAGTAGACTGGATATCTTACGATGACGATTCAAAATACAGAAGGGAGATAGAGGGCTCGGTAATGTGAAGCAATGAGAACAACCTCTCTCTCAATGTTGGCAAAACTAAAGAACTGATCATTGACTTCAAAAAGAAAGGAGGAGAACACGCCCCCATCTATATCAATGGAACTGAGGTTGAGAGGGTAGAGAGCGTCAAATTCCTCAGCATGACGATAACCACCAACCTGTCTTGGACTTCCCACACTGATGTGATGGTCAAGAAGACACAACAATGCCTCTTCTTCCTCAGGCGGCTCAGGAAATTTGGCATATTCATAGGGACCCTCACCAATTTCTACAGATATACCATTGAAAGCATACTGTCCATGTGCATAACGGCCTGGTATGGCCACTGCTCTGCCCAGGACTGAATGAATCTACAGGATGTTGTGTGCACAGCCCAAACCACCATGGAAACTGACCTTCCATGGACTCCATTTACACAGCTCGCTGCCATGGAAAGGCTGCCAGCATCATCAAGGAGCCCTCGCTCCCCGGTAATGATCTCCTACAACTTATTCCATCAGGCAGAAATTACAGAAGTTTGAACACACACAGCAGCAGGTTCAGGAACAGCTTTGTCCCAGCCATTATTAGACTGATGAATGGACTCTCTAGCCTCACATAATGCTGATCTTGCTAACGTTGATCTCGCCTAGCACTCGCCCTGTGCAACGTAATCTGTATGCTTCTGTCTAAGTTTTTTTACAACCTTTGATCTGTATATCCTAGCTTACTATGATCTGCCTGTATTGCTCATAAACAAAGCTTTTCACTGTATTCTGGTACATGTGACAATCAATCAATCAATCAATGATGTCAGAAAGCAGTAAAGTTTGTTGAAAATGCCATGAAATAGCTTTCAATTACCCAAAGTGCTAAATGAGTATTGAAAGCATAAGCAGACTGATGATTCCAAAAGCAATGTTTTAAGAAATGTGTCACATTACTTAACACAAGATAATTAGAAAGGTTAATCAATAGGATACAAGGATAAAATTGATAGTTGAAATGTAGACATAGTAGCCCAAGAGTGAACAAATAATATCAAAAAGATTAGATGGTTAGCCTGTGGTCAAAGACCCAAAATACAGAGTTGGAGATAGCATGTGAGTTTGAGACCCTGCAGTGATATGGGCAAGCAGCCCACAAGAGAAATGAGGAAATATGAAGGAAAGGCTCACCAAGGTATGTACACCATACATAATAAACACTCTAGGAAATACATTGACACAGTTCTTGTTAATCTGCACCTTACTGTTTGCAGACAAACCATCAGCACAACATTTCATAGCACCCATTATTTTCTAATCATTCATGGGATGTGGGCATCCCTGGCTAGGCATGCACTTATTTTCCATCCCAAATGGCCTTTGGGAAAGTGGAGGTGGGCTACCTTCTTGAACTGTTGTAGTTCTTGGGCTATTAGGGCACCCACAGTACTATTAGCGAGGAAGCTCCAAAATCTTAATCCAAAAACAGTGAAGGAACAGCCATATAGTTAAAAGTCATGATGGTGAGTGGCTTGAAGGAGAATTTATGAATGATGGTATTCCCATAAATATGCTGCCGTTGTCCTTCCAAGTGGCAGAGATTTCAATTTGTAAGGTACCGTCAAAGGAGCCTCAGTGAGTTACAGCAGTATATCATGTAGATGGCATACATGGTTGCTTCTGTGCATCAGTGAAGGGGGCAAATGTAGAATGTGGTGGAATGCCAGCCATGTGGGCTGCTTTGTCCTTGAAAGTGCTGCAATCCTTGAATGTTGTGGAACGATACTTATGGAGGCAAGTGGAGAGTGACTCCTGATTTGTGCTTTGGAAAGAGTAGGCAGGCACTGGGAGTTAGTAGGAACTGCAGATGCTGGAGAATCTGAGACAACAAGGTGCAGGGCTGGATGAACACAGCAGGCCAAGCAGCATCATAGGAGCAGAGAGGCT